AACCACATGTTTGCTCCGCTTTGAATATACATAAAGTTCGATTTTGTTTTTCTTTTATGGTTATTATAGCATGTGTAGAAAAACGTTATCATTTTTACCTCCTGCTAAACGAAATTCATGCAGAACATAATTTTAATTATAAGCATCAATTAGTTTTTCCAGTTCGATGCTTACCAACATTAATTGATCACGCATAACCTCCTCTGTATCAGATTTCGAAATAAATTTGTAATAAATTCAATGTATATTTTATTTAACGCTCCTCTGAAAAGAAAAGCAGTAAAACGGACCAGAGCCATCCTTTTATTAATCTGCACTTGTCATGCCCTAGTTACCTTATCGATTCGGTTTAAAATGCTCTCGAAGAATTGAAAACGTATGAAATTCTGTTTTATAACTTGAAGCTCAATGGTTGGTTACGACCGGAAAACGATATTCAAAACTTTTGATAAAATACGTGTCGAAATTTCACTATCTGACCTTAATTCTAGAGATTAAATGTTCTATCTTGTATATCAAGTTGTCATATTATGTTGTATTTCGAACATTATTTATGGTAGCAGAATAGATAATAGTATGTTTAAGTTTGTCACACATTGCTAATCTACTTGAAAGTCGTAATAGTCCTACCGTCTTTTGGAATATTCATCGCAACTCCTTCTTTGGAGCATAGGATTTTATGCTATCGTTAGTTCTTTGTTGGTGAATCATGTTATTTTACAGTCACTCAGTTTTGTAACCCCCGGTAATGATTATATAGCGGCGATTACTTGATTTAGTGAATTTCCCTAATTTTACTTATTTGAATGTGGTTTTATGACTGATTAAATGCAAGATTGCCTTTTGAAGGCGAGGGCTAATATTTTTATGTCGAAAACGTGACATATTAGGTTGTAGACAGAAGCAACCCATTATTCTTTTAGCGAAATCTGCTGGTGCTAAACGTATACACAGGAAATACGGTATTACTTTAACGACCGAAGCAGATTTTAGTGTTATGAAAAATTGCAGATAATTGCAAAATGCTACAAAAAGCGAAATCTTTAGAAAACATGTTTGGGAGTTAACTGTGTATGGTGTGTAGGAGAAAGAAAGAAACACGATAAATATTTTAATTCTGCACTTTATTATTGAAATCTTTTATTTGCTTCCTCGGTTGAATAGTTTCCTCGTTTCGTCGATCCATCATTGCTTGATTGATGAGCTACATATGTCGAAATTCTATTTTGCTTTTATAATCGCATTTTTATATTTACGGAGCCGAATAAGCAGTCGATTTACTTAATACCGAATGACTGGCAGCAGTACGTGGAGGAAATCGAAATCGTGGTTACACTTTGTGCTTATTATTACACATGATTATCAGCCTTTTGGTAGATCAAGGCACGCTGAAGCCGAAATGCGCTTTCATCGGGCTGTATGGCTGTACACCTCGTCGATTCTGGCATGACCAGATTAGAATGCCCCGCTGTCCATATTATTCTCGTCATCGGACTTGCTACCCGTTTCCAAGTCGAGTGAGCCAAAAGTAGTAAATTCGAAGTTTAAAAAAGGTTGATCCTTGAGAGAATTCAAATCCGGGTCATCCAGAATTCAAAGTCGACCTCTTTTTCACTCTTACACTGAAGAAGTTGTGTTACCTGCCATTTCATCCTCCAAAAAAGTGTGAACTTTGTCCTTGCAATGAAATCAATGCCTGAACGTCGTCGTTACCGCTATAATCTTTATCTTTGTTATGAATTACATTACAATATGTCAATTATATCAAAATATGCCAAATTACGTATATAGTATTTCCTTTACCTTTGTTATAAAATGTTAGTTGTAAGATGCGTAAGTTTATTTTCTTCGTGCTCTATAGATCTGGACAGGTATGTAAGCTGAAAATCGAACTTTCATTCGATGTGCAAACTCTAGTGTAATGACAGCTGTAGTGTGGTAATCTTCCTACCTTTCTTTTTTTGAAGTGGTAAAATAAGTAGCCTTCTCCGTATTGAATAATGATCCGGAAGACTGAAAATTGGTTTTTTGTAGATATACAGGTTTCCTACGTAAAATTACTGTTTGCTGTTGCTATCCACACCTGCCAACTGCATATCGTATAAGTAGCTCCATGTCTTAACTGGTGTCAGTCAGGGAACATAGGAAAGAGTGACTGTAGAATCCTAACATTAATTTGAAATACATTTCAAATCGGGTCTGATATTGTTAATGTTTACAGCTGCGTTGTTCAAGTTGTGTTAGTCTTAAACTTGCCAATATTTTCTTTTGCTGTATTCTTCTCTTTTCTACCGTTCTTAAAAGTTCGTTTCCATCCGCTGTTTGATCAGTATCCCGTGTTCAGTTGAAGTTCATTGGGTCGAATTCTTTAGCTTACATAAATTAATTGCTCGACTACTTTTTATGTATTTACTTTTGGTTTTTTTGTGTATCTTCCGGTGTTTAATTTTACGAAAATTATTATTTATAGAGGCATCCTTTCCGGGATTCACAAAAATGGTCAGACAGTTCTTCAGTAAGTTCGTATTTTATTGTGTCTTCCTCGTGTCCTCATTTTAACTCTTCTTCTATAGAAAAAAAAAGCAAGCGCATGACATGTCGTTTGAAATACAAAATTATTAAAAAGGTTTGTACCCCACGTTTTCTTTCCCGGTTCTAAGCCAGTTGCCTTTTAGGTTCGCGAGCACCATCGAAAGGTGCGTCGAGAAGCGCGTAAAACAAAAAAGGAAACGGACCCATTTCGTTTGAAAAAGCCAATCGTCCACATTCCGAACAAATGCCCGTTCAAAGCGGATATTTTACAAGGGGCTCTGAAGGAGAAAGAAAACGTAAAAATAAAAAATACTTCAGGCTTTCGGTTTTGGGCTCATAGTTATATAAATAAGCGTTTGAACCATTCGTGGTTCAGGGCACCAAGCACTGCGATGGTAAAACGATTTATTGTCGACGTGTTTCGCTACATAGACCGTAGCATAATCAGCACTAAGCCTCGGACAAAAATACGCGCAAAAATTGATCCTTCATTGTGTCAAAATTCGTTAATCGAAAGTTCGTAAATCACTTATTTTAAGTGCATTCTCTTAAAACTTTTTGATCTAAAATGATATAACCTGTGTTTTCTTAGATGGAGAAGTATCTGAAGGAACAGAAGGAACTGTCGAAAAAGCCAGAAGAAAATAATTTGGACAAAGTCATAACAGATGCCGAAGCTAAACTTGACGCCTTTGAAAAGTTGGTAAGTAGTTTAAATGACAGTTAACTTATGCGTTTGTCTACGCTGTTTATTACGAGAGTATCTTCTGTTTCGTAGAAGTTAAGTACTTATGATCATCAGTATCTCAAAACGACTCGACCACAATTACAGACGATTTAAAGTTGTTAATTGTTAATGATAAATAGTGAATAAAGTTTTAATCTTACTCGTATCAGTCAAACATCTTCAGGATTCTTGCGATAGCCTCCACTGCTGATCATTATTTGATCTTAGTCATCGATCCACTTACTTGACCCTAACATCTTTTTTTCGAAATGAAGCCGTTTTTGAAATTTCTGACAGTTCTACAGGGCATAGAGAATCATTGTTTAGTTTTGCTCCTATATTAACACGAGATGTTACCTTCTAAACTGAAGTGAAGCACAGCCTGTTTTTGACTCACCGGGTACAATGCGATTGTAGTACTGTTGTGCCTGTTGCAGAATGCCCCCTGTCAAGACCGCGCATCAGACTAGTTTTTGGTCCGCTAGGCATGATACGCAGTTTCTTTAAGTACTGAACAGGAAGATGCCTGTCCCTGGCCATCTGTTTACTCTTGTAGCTATAAATAGAAGCTCATAGATATGTTATTTCCATGGTTAACAGTAAAAAAAGAATACAACTTGTCACTCCGCCGAAACCATGCATAACTTTTGAATAAGGCTCGTTTTGTTACAGACGGTGCTTCTGAGCATGGTATCAGAAGCCGTATCAGCGTCCAGTGATGTGTAGTGTACTTTTCAGTTGTGTTTGAACGCGTTTTTCTTCGGCGCACCATCATCAACCGATTTTTATCCATGCTCTGCAGGCGTTCAAATTACATGGAGCAGCAGCCTGCAAAGAGTTTCCTAAGCAGCTAGACGCAAGTTGGCGCTACAACTTCACCATGTAGATCTGGTTAATTGGCATTATGTTGTTCCTGCTGGCATCGTCTAAAACTACCATTATTGTCGCTGACCCTAGATTGAATACCAGAGTCATTGATTTCAGTTTGTGACTATGCTGTCAACGTTTTGGACATTTACTTGATGATTTAGTCCAGAAATAATTATATAGCTTAACCGCAGAAGAACATTTTTCATTGACTCATTTTATCTATATATTCATGTGAATGTGCAAATGAAACGGTATATTGCGATGCTTCTCCAATGATTCGAGAATCATGGCAATAATTTCACTTAAAAGACAGAGATTCGGTTGATGCTTATGCGTGAATGTCCTTGAATTGGCTAATTATTCTCATTACTTGGATAACTTGTTTTTTTTTGTATTGCCATAGTTAAACAGCAAACTATAAATTTAATCAGAGCAAACTTTATGTGAATAATCAAGTTTTCCTTTCAGTACACCAGGAGGGAAGAAGAGAGACGAGTTTTCGACTCAAACCCAGAAGCTGGTTTCAAAGCTGACTTTGCCGTAGTCAGGAAGGTTTGCTCGCCGCCTAGTTCAACCTTGGTCTCTCCGAAATTTTCGAGTTTCTTCTGAACTTATAGGTGATCAACGAAGCCGATGTGATCATCGAAGTTCTGGACGCGAGGGATCCCCTTGGAAACCGGTGTCCGACTATCGAAAAAGATGTGCTCGATGCTGGGAAACGGCTGGTTTTATTACTTAATAAAATAGGTAAATTTTGGATCGTTGAAAATTATTTCCTTGAAACTCTGTTTCTCTGATTAACTCGCTACCGACATGAACCTTTACTGTTTACAATGAGTTCCTATTTTGCTGTTTTGCTAATCCGTGAATATAGGATTGGACGTTCTCTTACTTTCTCCGTTTCCTAAATTCTCAGTGAGCCCAGTAACACTTGAAGATGTACCGCATGGCTGCAGGTTGCATGAATGACAACGGTCGGCGACTTTTGAACCTTTGTTACACGCACGGTTTTGTTGTCGGCGGTACGGTGTTTCCTCACTGTCAAATCCACCACCTGACGTAGGTAGCGCATATTAGTCAACAGGAACTGGTGAATCGCCCACGACACCCGAACACGACGCGAAGCTGACGTTGACTCGAACCACTTTATGGTGGTCGCAATGCTTCGATTCTCTCTGGCTGCGTTCCGGCGTGTGGCATAAAATGGGGCGAACTCCAAATTAAACACCAGCAACTTAAAAGATCCGCAAACTTGTGCGGCGTTTCAAGATGAGGTGAACAGCAGATTCCCTTCTGTAAAGGACATAATTTGTTAGAACTCCGTGTTGCTGTATCAGTAACTAAAACAGGGTATCATCTGTCTCTAAGAAAAAAACGAAACACCCCATGATGTCGGCAAAAGTCTTCTTCCGAAGACTGGAGAACGTAATTGACGATTCACTTCGATCGAATCAAACAGGGTTTCGAACTGGGCTCTCGTGTATTTTTAAGGTGAACGCTTTAGCCTGTTTTAGCTTCAGTCAGAGGATTGCCACTCTTCCGCTGAATGCTTCAGGCTTTCATTCAGTTACTGTCAGCCAGGCTAAGTTCTACTAGAATGGCAACACCGGCTTGAGCGCACGTCCTGTTGTCGACTCCTGAGCAGAATTGCTTCCACCCGCACAAGTTCAGAATTACACAGCGTAGGCTTCGTTGACGGGAGTCCAACTGTGCCTAGTTCATAATTTATGGCCTGACCAGCTAACTCTTGTTCTTTCCTTTGAGCGAGGATATTTTTCAATTTCCAACTCTAACCTCCCGCTG